GGTCCCAGTAAGCATGTGCCTTTGCGACCCAAAGAGAGAATATGAATGTCCGCGTTGGAGAATGGTTGGGTCTTGGGGATAATGAGTCTGAGCATGAGGGGAATGAGAGTCATGGGGAGTGAGTGTGCAGACTATACATCGACGCCCCCGATAAAAGTGTAGCTGGAGCCCCCCCCGATGAATCGATGAAGAAGAAAGAGACCATGGATTGGACAGAGGGGGAAGACACCAGGAGTTTGTTGATGAAGAGAAACCGGTAAATCGTAGCAAGACTCAAAAGATAAGCCGTATGAAGACAGGAAAGAATACGAGTTCCACACTCACATAATCTTCCCCTTGAGAAGAAGCCAACCCAGAATCACTCTTGCCGCTAGATAAGTGCACTCGATTCTCTTCGACTTTGTGTATCCATTGAGGGTTGATTTTTCGAAAGAGGGGTCCTGTTCTCGGATAGGATTCGAACCTGAAATTCGTTTTTGGATCAAGAGATCTTGTTGTTGGATTGCATTCAAGTGTAGATATATCCTCCGTATTCCATTGTCATTGTTCTCAGCTGCAGAGCCAGCCATCATCCCACACCTACCACGGTCAACGTATTCCTTTGAGAATCAAGTCGGAATAATAACTATAAAAAAAGGACTATGATAGGTGAGCTTCATAACTTTTTACCTTCATCTTCTAACCGTACAGTAGGTTACCTTTGATGACAATGTCCGCAGAGAGAGGAAAAGTCAAAAAGTTCAGACGAAAAAAAAATCAAAGTCCATCGCGTCGTTTTTCCTTTCGACTTTCTCTTTTTTCATCTTTCACTTCTTTTCTCATCTCTTCTCTTAAAGTACCTCGAACGCTTCCCACACACTATGGAAGACATGGCTTCGTCTCCCTCTCCACCTCTCAGCCCTCGCAAGACAACTTTCCAACCGCCTCCTCCCCGCTATGCGACCCACTCAATCCATATCCTCATCTTCCCCACGTTTCATTCGCCCACAACCAGAAGTTATCGACATCGACAGCAGTGACAACGTTGACTCTTGCCTTAGGGAGATGCTCAGTCTCTGGGATCGACGGATTGGGTGATTTAGGACGACTCAGTCTCTGGGATCGACGGATGGGCAATTTAGGACAACTTGCTTTTCTACCAGGACAGCAGGATGAAGTGACTGCAATACAAGAAGAAGCAATCAATATCTTATTGGAAGAGAAATCAAATGGGCGAATGACTGAGGTTGAACTCACAAGTGACTTATCCAAATCACCATTTGTGTGAGGCTTTATAAGGATCTGATGGAGATTCATACGTTGTGGGGTGACATGGAAGGGAGTTTAATCTGCTGCTGAGAGTTGAGAAAAATGTGTCGAAGGCGTGTTGGGTAGAGAAAAGGCCGAGATAATCGTCGAACAGGTCTTTCAGAGCCAGCGGTAAGTATTCCAATTCAATGTCAAACGTGAACGAGTGGAGACAGCTCATGTTTAGAAAGGGAAAGAGAAGAAAGTAAAACATGTGTGTGAGGTGGATTCTCATCTGACAATTCTGTCCAAGCCCTAATGGCCCAGACAATGCTATGTTAATCTTGGTTGTTCTATCTACTGATTCCTTATGTAACGTGCCTACAAAATGATACGAGATGCTACGTAATCGTCGAGTGAGTCGTCAAAATTCAAGTATATTCCTATTGGTATCTTTTCTACCTACAGTGGGGCGGTGGGCTTTTTCTTCTTTGTGGGTGGGGAGTGAGAGCCTGGACGAGAGTGGCAACTGAACACCATCTCACTCCCTCATATGATCACAAAAATCCTTTGTCACAGCCGTCGAATAACTTCTCTCTAACAGACCGACGGTCGACGAACCTCGGCTAACTTGACACTTCTGAATCAAGCACTCCCCGGTCCATCCAGCGTGCCGATCCAGGTTTAATATAGCTCATCGTCTGAGACGAGTCAATGGCGAACAACCTTCTACCCCTTCGACCTCCTCGGCCAGTTGTTCCACAAGTCGATCCGTCGACACCGATAGACACGGCTCGACGATCTCTTATGCTTGTTTTAGTCCCGATCCCTGTTGATATTGACATACGGGCTACGAGTTGTTGTATGACATGACAGTAGTGAGTTGTTAACTGTTGAGATGAGTCGATCTTCGATATCCGATCCTAGTTCCATTCATAATTATCTATCTCCTTCCGTCCAGTCGAATGCATCCCAACTGAACCATGATCGCAGACCAAAAAGCTGACCCCAGGGGAAAAAGATAACCCAAGAATGATGACCCTGTCCCGTAATTTCCCCATGAGGTATCCCCAAAACCTCCTGTTCGCAATCATCAACATCGTCGCCTTCAGCCTCAGTATCATCTCCCTGCCCAACTGACCCTCGAGTCCTCATTGTACTCACTAGAGCTTTGCATGCACAATTAGGCCGCGTAAAATCTATCAGCGATACATGTCAAAACTTCCAACCCGCGCCGACGTATCCGCCGTCCTGGGCAGCTGTGCAAGGTGGATTTGAAGGATGTTTTCCCGCCATTGTGTTGTGGGAAAGTTGGATAGGCATTTTGCTTAGCTACCAGCTGGGCGGGGTCCAGTAGTACGTCGAGTATGCGCTGATAATCAGCGGTCGCTCTTCCTCGTTTGTCTTTGACATCTACGCCTAGGGAGTTGATTGGATTCTCGAATCCTTGGGTATCTCCCTCATACCACTACCTCAACGACTGCTTCGGCATCCACATGGACCCCAGGAGGGTGGTCAACTTCTTCCACGCTTTGGGTTTGAAGCTGGGAATCAAAGGCTCGCTTACCGAGGTTAGAGACCCGGCTCCGCCATAGAACTCGTGGCCATTCTGGTCGACTCCAGCCTCGGGACGGCTTCACTTACCACCTCGAGACATCATGAATCCTCTATTCTCTTCATGACGTTACCTCTGGGCGTTCTGCGACCTCGTCCAAACTCCAACACATCATCGGCACTCTCGTCTGTGTTTGTTCAAATCGTATTACAGAAAAAAGGGCTTATCGAAGACGAATGTGGATGGGACTTGGGTGGCCAGTGTTCTCCAGAGGTTTGAGAAGATCAAGTCACAGTCTGATCGTTTCCAAAGTATTTGATCCTTCCAAGACCGTGTCTAAGACATGGCTCGATCGATTGGGAAAGGCTATGAACTTGATACGAAATTTGAGGAGGAATGGTGGGATGGATGAGTAAGACGGTCGCTGGGTAAAAGTACCGCTCGTGGGTACGCCCTGAGAATCAGTTACTGTGACTTTTACACTTTTTCACTGAAAAGGATTCCAAGTACGATCAGGGCACATCCGTAATGCAGTCATGCTAAAGACTAAAGACTGAATGAGACTGTTAGATGAGATAAACAAGACAGTGCGGGACATTTCAAGGATGAACTGAAGACTGCGTTCAAGACTGGGATCAAAAGTGGGAAGAGGGGTTAAACTCACACCCGTATGTTGGGGATACGACAGAACCCCGAGTATCCAGATGAATTGCCCACCAGGTTGAGCATTGAACTCTGGTATGAAATCACACTACTCCCTCCATTCGCTTGACATATGTTGTCCATTTGCTTTGCATGTTCATCGGAGGAGTGTTCATCGGAGGAGCATGAGCGATCCCAGAGGTACTGTACTGGTAATCCTACTCGTCTCTGGTAAATTCCGATTCCGAGATGTGAATTCACAGGACGAGTCAGCATTCCTGAGGGTCAGCCATGAGGAAGGAGCAAAATTTGGACAAGACGTAAAGAGAAGAGAACGTACCATGAATTCTTAAACGACGTGGAGCCCGAGTCAGTCGTCTGGACCGTTGAAAGATGTTGGTCCCTTGTTCATCGAGACCGTCACCTTACGACTTGGGTCTTTGGGGTTGGGATCATCATTTGGCTTCTGGTGAGGTCAAAGTGTCTTTTTGATATCGATGGAACGGATGACGGGGGCGAGGGGGTGAAGAGAGTGGTTTTGAGTCATGGATTTTTCAACACGTTGACGGATTACTTGGCCTGGTCGCAAGGAAGGTTTGACCTGGTCGGATGTCAAGTTAAACTTTGTCCCTTTTCCCGTCAACAAGGTGGTCGATGGCAGGGAAGAGTTTTATAGGTTTCAGGTGGGTGGGTAGTCAGGATGAGGTGAATATAGCGAGGATTTTATCACAGGTCAGTCGGTTTATTGCTTGTCACCCTCTTCATGTCTTGCCCTTGCTTGTTCTCTCTCTCTCTCTCTCTCTCTCTTGCTTTCTTTTTACTCTTTCTGGCTCTGTCGACTCTGCAGGAGGACGAGTATAATGTGGTTTTGCCTTCTGCTCCGAGGATAATGAGGCGGGATCGAGGGCATGATGCCGATGGTGACAATGGGGAGGGTGGTGGTGGTGGGACTGATGATGCCGGTGGTGGTGGTGGTGGTGGTGGGAATGATGATGCCGGCTGTGGTGGAGAAGGAGGACGAGGAGGGAGTCACAACTCATCTCCATCCGATAGAACATCACGTTCTCGGAGTGAGGCTCCTGATCCTATCAACTTGATGATGTTTGGGCTACTATCAGCTACCGGTGAAAACCCTTATTACGATCCAGACCAATAAACTCACAGATATTTTACTCTTATCGTAATCGCTATATCAATCAAGCGTTTCGCAGACGATGCAACTTTCTCCATACCGATGAGTTGATCGTCGTTGAGCACACAATCTTTATCGCCAGGGTTTTATCAGAGGGGATATGGTTGACGAGCAAGTGGTTAAGCTCAAGTTGTTCTATGCTCGTCAGATCTGGCCACAACGAGAATGAGCAGAGGAAATTATTTACCTTTACAGAGGACCGAGTGAAAATTTTGAGCTGCAGGATGGAAATGATTAGGAGGACTGAAGGTCGGATTACTCGGAATGACGTCTATGTATTCCTGTATCTTTCTTGAACTTGAAATTCACTTCACTCTGCGTTTGAACTCCCACTAGGCGATGACGGAGAATCCTCCCCTTGGAGTATCTCGACGATACCGGAAAGCTTGTGTGAGAGATGGCCCTTGAAATCAGCTCGATTGACACGAAAGGGGGTTGAAATGATACCATCGAGGCGAACGAGTAAGTTAGTGAAATGAAACTTACACTTCGAATCTGACTTTTCTTCAACTTTGCACACGTCTTTTTCAACTGTCCATCCGTCTCCTTCAGCTTCTGTTGACAGGCATCTTTTTCAACCTTCAAACGGTCCACTTGGATCTCTAGCTCGTCACTCCGACCTTGAAAAAGCTCGAGTTGACCCTTTAACCTCGCCATTTCCTTTTCTACCTTTACGTTTCTCCTGGCTTGACACTCGGAGGCAAAGGTTGCTAACTGACCTGCGATTGACTTGGCTTCTAGGTCTGCACGGTCGATCGCTACCACATCCATCGATTCCAACTCTGCCTTCCAATCAGATTGACTGACGAAAGGGCTGGTCAGCTCTTTGACCAAAGCAAGTCGCTGGCTGATAGTGAGATGACGCCGATGACTATAGTTGACAATTTCCTTGACAGGGTCATTATCAAAACTTGAATCAAGGTCGTTGAGCGCTCTGCTATGGGAAGCCATGTCGTTCTAGAATGAGTAAGTACTTATAATAGTATGAAAGTGACATATGCGCAACCACAACAAGTCTAACGTACAGGATATGTATGACACGTCATGCTACCCCATTCTACCTAACTTACCGTTAGCAGATTGTCATTGTGGTCATGGTGATCTCACCGTTTCATGGTATAACTTGTCCCGCACATTCCACCACAGTGACCGACCCTAGACCCTCGGGCATGATCAGACCTCCTCCAGCCTACATGAACAACGAGCAAAGGGTGTGGGGGCCAGAAGGAGTGTACAGAGACATGATGGCCAGGTTGTGAGCGAGAGTGAGAGTGTCGGCCTCATGAGTTTCCGTCGTCACATCGCCGTCGGCGTCGGTCTGCACGTCAGCCTGCAGCCTGCAGCATGCAGCTGGGTTAAGGGAAAGAAAAGAGAGGCAAAGGGTTAAACTCACCGGCGCCGGTCTCTGATCTTGTTCCGTCCGAGCCTGCTTGTCTACATTTTGAGCCTGAATCTGACTAGGAACAAGGGGAAGAGGTAGTAGAGCAGTAGGAGGAGTAGTGATGGCCCACTCGAACGATTTGGATCTTCTGCTGGGTCCGATACCGGGGGAGAACTGATCAGGATGAAAACCATCTGTGGATGGAGGAGGAAAGGGTTCATGATGATGTCGAACAATTTCCACTTCCCAGTTGTCGTTGTCCTCCTCGTCCTCGTCCTCTGTTTCTTTCCCCATCTCTTTCTCCTTCCCTTTCCCCTTGTGTCGTGGGTTCTCCTGCTGCTGGTCCTGCTCCTGCCGCCCTTGCTGCGTTTCTTGCTCCTCCTCCTCCTCCTCCTCCTCCTCCTCCTCCTCCTCCTCCTCCTCCTCCTCCCGACCCTCCACACGCCTCGTCGACCCGCCACGCCCAAGGCGAGGTCGCCCGATCTTACCACCTCTGCTCATCCCAGCTGCCTTCCTCTTCCCAGTGGGTTGCTGAGAAGGGTAAGGAGCTCGGTAGGGTTCCACCGTGTTCCTGAAAGCGTCTCTCGACCTCCATTTTCGTGCTCTTTGCGGCATGATTCGATAAAAAGGAATGTTTGGTGCATGATGAAAGACTAGTTACCCGCAGCCGGGGGGTCCCCCCACGTCACCCACCACCCTCCACCAGAGACGTCACTAGTAGTACTAGTGTTCGAAAGCGTCACTTACACCACTGTTTCCGATACACCACTAGCGTTCCGACTTATCTCCGAGGTCATAGGGAGGTTGATAGGTTGAAAAGTCGATTTGTTGAGTTGATATGCTGATTTGATAGTAGTATTGATAGGTTTGAAACATCGTTACATATCATCCCCCTCCCACCCGTACTCGACACTAAATAACACTAGAGTACGAGTACGAGTACTACTCTACAAAGTTCAACATCTACCTCTTCACTTGCCCATCAACATGTGAGTTCCCCAGATCCAACGCAAGGTCGACAATATCAACATCAACTATTGATTATATCAAAGTTTCAACTCTCATTAGCAGAAGAAAGTCGATATTGATCATCAAGACGGTTTATGAGGATAACCGATCATGACGGAAATATCAACTTGTCAGGACAGAAATATCAACCTTTTGATTCATTCGTCTAGCTTGTAAAGTTTTACCCTCTATATTCCAAGAACGCTACGTTGGTCGATTCATCACACAATCACACCCTTCAACCTTTATGCTATTTTATCAAACTAGAACATAGTTCTATCTCCCTCGACGCAGATCCCAAAGTTCGACGCCCTTCAACCTTTATATTATTTTACAAAACTAGAACTATGTTCTATCTCCTTCGACGCAGATCTCAAAGTTCGACACCCTTCGACCTTTATATTATCTTACAAAACTCGGACTAGGTTTCATCTCCTTCGACGCAGATTTCAAAGTTCCGACCTTTGGTCTTGATAAAATCCCTCATTGATGATTGAAAAGAGGGTGTTACGACTGTACTTATACTTAAGGTTTAGATAGAAACCGGAATGGCACGGAAAGGATTTTAGCTGGGAAGCCGTTCTCCGGTTTATGTGTTAGTTGGCCGGTAGTTTTTCAGTAGGTTAGGTTCCCTAATGAGTACTTACGACGAACCACTCAATCCCTAGTTTTGACTTTGAAGGTTTTGGATCTGTTGACCATTGGTCTGAAAGATGGAGAGGGAGAGAGGGAGAGAGAGGGAGAGAGAGAGAGAGAGAGAGAGAAAGACGGTCATTTGTGGATTATCTATGTTTCTCCCATATGACCAGATAAATTCTTTCCAAGGCCGACGAAGAGACAACGATGGTTGAACCTCCTCCCCCTCCCCCTCCCCCTGGGAATGAAAGGAGAATCCCAAAATCGATCTTTCACATTACTAATTTACTAAACAACTTGGCTCGCTCTGCACCCGGGTGGACGGGGGGGGGGGGGGGGGGGCCAAGTGAGCAATCGGAGAGCGACGGGGGCAAGTGAGCAATTGGAGAGCGACGGGATTGCATTCTTTCCCACATGATTTTCTCGCACGATATTACTTATACGAATTGATGTACTTATCATCCCCCTCCCTCCAGGCCGAATGGCATCGTATCATCCAAAGAGACGTTTTTTGTAAGGACTCGATCGATCGGTACCGAAATCGTCTCCAATGTGGAAAGGTAATTGCAATTGAGGGCATGTATGTATACTTCTAACTACTGGGGTTTATATCTACTAATTTATGTCAGGCTGATTTACCATGGAATGTTGTAGTTTATATCTACTAATTTATGTTAGGCTGATTAATCATGGAATGTTGTAGAAGGAGAGAGAGAAGAAGAAGAAGAAGAAGAATGATAATAATATATGATATGGTAGAATGTGGTAAACGAAGGTAAAAAGGAAAGAAGAAGATATATAAAAATGGATCCTTTCATGGTTACTTCTACTACAACGTTTATCCAATTGGTTACTTCTACTCCAACGTTTCTCCGATTTAGTGATTTATGATTTTGGATGGATGAAAAAAACTCCCCCAACTTTTGAGCGTTAGAGATTTTGCTCAATATTGTCACGACCAGTACTTATAGCGAGATCAACTCTCACTAGCAGAGTTGATATTGAGCCTTTTAGGACGGTTTATGATCGCGGGCTTGCTACCCGGTCATGACAATATGACAAGTTAGGATTTTAATGAAAAAGTCAACTTTGGGTTTTTTTTTTTCACTTTGTATTTACTCGATGGATACACTCCATTGGGTCATTTGACGACTTGAGGTTCTTAAACGTGACATTTTGTGCTTCTCTTGATATTTCATCGCAAAGGGTTTTTATGTTATGGTCTCTCAAGGTGAAAAGTGAAAAATGTTATATAATGAATACGTAACTTGTTCTTTTTCTTCCCCTTGGTCCTTAATCTGTATTGTACACTGTATATTTCCGGTCCATAACTCGTATAATGAATGTGTCTTCTCGGGATATAGTTGTACACTGTATAATGTATCTTCTCGGGATATAGTTGTACACTGTATATTGTATCTTCCCGGCCCATAACTGTATATATACTGCTGTATCGTATACCGAGTTCAGAGGTGGTTTGTTGGAAAAAAAGACAACCAGCACGGATGCAATTGCAATTGGGGATTCCCACTTTTTGCATAGCTGTTGACAGTGATGGGTAACGATGGGATGCATTTTCGAAAAAAGTTATCGGCAATCTGTTGGGTTACTTTTGTTTGAATTATTAATGGTCGTGATTTACTGTTACTGTACATGACACAATCGACATTCCACATGCGACCCCAACCACTCAGGCCTGACCGAGAGCAGTGAATGAGTGAGTGAGTGAGTGGATGAGTGGATGAATCAATCAACATCGGATGCATTTTTTCAATTTTCATCCCAAAATAAGAGTGAACGAACAAACGGCTCATCGGAAGGAAGCCTATAAGTCATGGTGCTTTCCCACCCTCCAACCCTCCTAGCCTCCCACCCATACACCATTCAACGACGTCGACGGGAATGAGCACAACAAATTCCACGTGAACAAAGAATAGTTTGGAGATGACACAAACGTCAAACGTGATAACACTCACCGCATGATTACTCTACTACCTCGTTGATCATCTTAATCATACTCATACTCGGCCGACCCAAATATGTTGCCTTTATCCCATTGAAAGAACCACACTTGTTACTGTTTGGAATTGGTTCAGAAGC